GAGTTTTCTAAATTGGTTCTCAAATCTGGTTAGTATTAAAGATGTTGATGACTATGCTTCCAGTAGTAACACCAAAAACCAAACCCATTGCAGTCGAGTCGATTCTAACTCATAGCAACCCTACAGGACAGAGTAGAACTGCTCCACAGGGTTTGTGGATTTTTTTCCATTTCTTTTGTTTTTGTTTTTACTGAGACTTTACGTTTTTCTTCTTTATTTTGATGAGTATGTTTGTTAACTTTCTTTGTGGTTACCTTGAAATTTACCCTTATCTTCCTAAGTTTGAACCGGTTTATTATTACTTGGTATCGCCTTGCCTTCCTCTCCAATAGAAAGTTCTATACCTACACTGTTTATTCCCTCTTTTATTGTTCTGATGTTGTTGTCATTTTCAGATTAACCTCTTTGGTTCCCTGTTGTAAATATTTGGGTTTTGAATAGTCCTTGTGAGTTCATTTCCCAGGTTGCTATCTGGCTGTTACAATCTTGTGTCCCAGATTCAGGCTGTCATCTGATTTTTGTTCTCAAACAGAAAGATTCCCTTTAATAATTCTTGTAAGTTTGGTTTGGTTTTTACGTATTCTTTTAATTTCTGTTTATCTGGAAATGTCCTAATTTCACCATCATATTTGAACGAGAGTTTTGTAGGATATATTATTCTTGCCTGGCAATTTTTTTCTTTCAAGGTTTTCTATCTGTCATCCCATTGCCTTCTTGCCTGCATGGTTTCTGCCGAGTAATCAGAGCTTAGTCTTATTGTTTCCCCTCTGTATGTGACTTTTCATTTTTTTCGAGCTGCTCTCAGAATTCTTTCTTTGTCTTTGGTTTTAGCAAGTGTGATTATGATATGCCTTGGTGATTTTCTTTTGGGGTCTATCCTATATGGGGTTCGTTGAGCTTCTTGGATGGTCAGCTTTTCATCTTTCATGATATTAGGGAAGTTTTCTGTCAGCAATTCTTCAATGATTCTCTCTGTGTTTTCCATTTTCTCCCCCGTTCTGGAACTCCTATCACTCAGAAATTTTTGCTTTTGATTGTATCCCACATAATTCTCAGGGTTTCTTAATTTTTCTTTGTTCTTTTTTCTCATTTTTCCTCTAAGTTGTATCCAAGTTTTTGTCTTCAATTTCGCTAATCCTGTCTTCCATTGTTTCAAACCTGTTCCTCAGCCCTTCTATGACACTATCCATTTCTGAAATCTTGTTATCTTTTGGATTTCTAATTGTTGCTTTTGTATGATTTCTAGTTGTGAATTTATTTTGCTTTTTGTTCCTGTATTATTTTCCTGAATTCTTCCATTTTCTTGTCTGTATTTTCTATGAATTTGTCTGCCTTTTCCATGAATTTGTCTATTTTTTTCCTCGTTTTTGTCTGGTTTTCATTTCAACTTTTAGATAGCTCTGAATATTAGAGATTTGAATTCCCTATCAGGTAGTTCTAGTGCCTTTTCTTGTACTGGAAAGTCATCTGGTGTTTTATTTTGGACACCTACTGGAACCATCCTGTCCTTTTTTTTATATATGTTTTGATATTGTCTGCTGTCTTCAGGACTTTCAGTAGTTATTTTCTTCATTTATTGATTGTAGCTTTGTTTGTTTCATCCCATTTTTTTGTTTTATTTGGTTATGGCTGAGCAGGTCATCTGTGTGTTCTTTGTTGTTTGCTTGTCTGTGGACATGATAATTTTCACCTCCTTGTCCAATGGGCAGGGCCAGTTGTTTAGCTATGGTGTAGCAGGGCAGGTCCAGCTGAAGGGGAAGGGGTGGGATGGGTTGTTTGTGGCAAGTACTTTGGGCTAACCAGATGAGCCAGTGCTCAGTGCAGGGCAGGTTCCAGTAGGTCATGCCTTTGCTGCTTGGGAATGCAGTGTTCAGCACATTGTGTAGATAGGCAGGAGGTAGAGGGAGGCGAAGGTTGTGATGTGTGGAGCTAGGCTGGGTATGGAAAAGAAGAGAGAGACAGGAGCAAAAAAAAATGCTGAGGGAGCTTGCCGTTGAAGTGGAGAGACAAGAAACCAAGAAATGGAGAAAAACAAAAAGAAAAAAAAAAAGAAATAGATAAATTTTTTTAAAAAAACAAAATAATTAAGGGTGTGGGATAATGGTGCAAGGACACAAAGCTGTATCAGTCTGAGCTTATTAATATGGGCCCACTAAACATAGATTTTTCATTCAGTGTTTCAGTTTTATAGTTTAGATGAGGATCCAATAATTTATTTGGCTAGGTCACTGAAGCATGGGTTATATGGCCCACACTAAATCAAGCTGCAGTGCCGGACCTGCCTTGGTATACTGTAAAAGAAGGAATCCAAACCTTAGGGAAAGTGGCATGTTAGAGTGGATTTATC